CTGCCTTTTACTACTTCGATTCTTTTGATGTACAAGCCCCATCTCCCCAACCAAACTGCAGGTTGCTCCAAACATGGACGGCACCTTGCTCACCTCGGTCATCCTGATCCCCATCAGTGCATCTAATTCATAGTCAGTGCTTCTTGTGTATTTTTTTTTATCTTGGCTTATTACACAAATAAAACATGCTCACGGTAGGATTACAGATTTATTGGCAGAGTAAATCACCAAAGAATAAAGTGCACAGCCTCCAAAGCAATTAAAGAGATGCAAATTTTTTTAAATGGAAGATATTCTTACATGTGTATTAAATTAAGACAAATCAATAAAAATGAAAAAATGCTATGCAGGAATGATTATGCGAAAGAGTGTGCTTACATAGCAACGGAGGCAGGCCTGTCATTTGGGTCAAGACTCTTGAACACTAGCCGGCAACATGTCACAGGAAGTACAAAGATCCCCTTGCCTTTTAATTAGGGATGCAAGTGTTAGACCAGGGATTTGGGCATCCTAACACATCTCCATTCTAAATTCTCCTCTCCTTGCTGCCTCTCTCCCTCTCTCTCTCTCTTTCGTCTCCTTCCTGGCCATTGCACCTGGCTGCAGATTTCCTTCTGTCCCTGTGTCTGTTCTCAACCACATTATCAAAAGCCCATCCTCGTTTTGCTCCAAAGTAGATTTCTCCCTGAGCCAGACTTCAACCATCTGTCCTCCGAGTGTCTTCTCCGGTGTCATCTGAGTCCTGCTTTGTTTATGTTCCTCCTGTGAGAGACTTCCCCAAGTCCTCCAGGGTGAAGCCAGTTGTTCCCTGTGAGACATCAACAAAGGGCAGCACGCCTTGTGCAGGCGGAACAGGCATCCTCTCCCCGCTGGGAGTGAGCACAGGGAAAAAACACAAGAGCAGAGGCTCAGAGGCTGTTCATGGGGGACCCCCACGGGCCGAGGCCAGCAGTGGGTGTGTGGACTCTATCCCCCACATGGGTTCCTCCCCAACTTGCTCTCAGGATCTGAGGGAAAGGGAGGGGGCAAGGAAATGGGAGTGGAAAGGGAGTGCTTGTGTTGGTTTTCTTACTGGGCTGGTACTGTTTGCTAAGTTCTCTCCCCTGTCCAGTGCCCGCTGTCATGGCAGCACACATCATCCAAATGCTGCCTACTTCTCATCTCAGTCAGCTTTAGGAGGGTCCACATGATCCCTCCATGGGAACTTCCCAGAAGCACATGACCTTAGCTCAAATACTATGGCAGATGCTGGAGGTGCCACGGCTGGAGGCTGGAGACTGGAGGCTTACTGCACTCTTCACAGCGGGACAGCAAGTTCTTTCCTTCTTTTCTTTTCATCGGAGTTTAGTTGACATACAATGTTTTATCAGTTTCTGATGTTCGGTGTAGTGAATGGACCACTCTATACATGATGCAATGCTTACCACCACCAGCGTAGTCACCGCCTGTCACCCTACAATGTTCTTACAATATTACTGTCTAATTCTTTTCATCCCTGGGGCTTATTGATTTTCTAAGTGGAAGTGTGTCCCTCTAATCCCCTTCCCCTACTTGGCTCCTCTCCCTCACCCCTCCCCTCTGGCAGCAAGTTCTTTCCTGTAGACAGAATCCAGGGCACCTATATTGCTGTAACCTGCTTTGAGGGATCCAGGAACGGAGATTTCTTTGAGCAGCAACATTAGCGTCCGAGTTCTAACACATTGCCCCCTCTTCTCCCTCCTGGAGACAGGAACTGGGTACTTTCCTCCCCAGATCAAGCGACAAGTGAAAGGAGGTTTAAGGAAGCCACTGGAAGAAGCGGGAGCCCTTCTCACATGCAGAAGGACGTGTGCCCGGAGCTGTTATAGGGTGGGCAGGAGGCTGTGGGATGGTTCTTGCAAGAGCTTGATTTGTGTCTCTTGAGTCTGAGAGGCATAGAGCGTGGTGCCAGGGGCGTGGGATGAGGGCTACAGTGGGAGCAGCCTGCACTTCCAGAATTTGTCCATGAAAGATGCACGGGTCTCCCGTTGCCCAACAATGGGAATCTAGTTAACCCTACTGATCTGGACATTTAAAGATGGTTAAGATGTCAAAGTTTATAATATGGTTTTGACCACAATTTCACAAAAAGAAGAGGGATGTACAGGGTTTCCCACGGCCCAAATGGGCACTGTGGAAGGTACCTGTTGTGATCCCAAAAGGATCCCTACCCACAGAACTGCCCGCCATCGAGAAACCTAAGAAGACAGAGTCCAGAGTTGTCCTGCTTCTGGGGACAGGGACCGAGGTGAGTGGCAGAAGGTCAGCTGAAGAAGGACTACCCACTTGAAGGGCTAGCAAGGTACAGACTCCCCAGCACAGGGGTCACTGTGGAACCTCAAACAGGAACAGCAGGGCCTGGTTATTTTGGCTCCATATGGCACACCTCTAGTGGACGGCTGCTGGTCCGGAGGTCCCCATGGGGTTAGCCAATATTTTCCCAGATTCCTGTCAAGTCTGGGGTCTCTCTGTCCAACCCTGTTTCCTCCATCATCTGTTATAGCCACTCCTCCCCCAATAAACCCCTGCCCTCTTAACTTCAGCTCAGGGTCAACTCCCAAGAGGATCCAAACTGTCACCATTTCAGAATTTCGGAACCGTTTTCCCTCAATCACGGTACCTGGCTGCAGGTTGAGCTGGCATCTCTCTTCAGAATTTGCAAGCACTTTTCACCCTTTCCCCTCAGCTCTGAAACCCCAGCACCTAATATCCTATTATAGATTGTATAAGTGAACTTTCCAGTAGATAACATTGTAGTAACAAAACCTGAAATCTCTGTGGCTTACAACAACAGAGGTTCATTTATTTTTTAAGACTTTATGTAATCTGCACACCCAACATGGGGCTTGAACCCACAACCCCAAGATCAAGAGTCACATGCTCTACTGAGTGGGCCAGGGGCCCCAACAAAGGTTTATTTCTTACTCGTTGTATATGTTAGCAGTCTTCTCATAACAGAATCCAGGCTAAAGGAACAGCCTCTCTCCTGGTTGTGCCTTTGTAAAGGCAGAGGGAAGAGAGCAAAAAGCCTGGTGGAAATGTGCAATGCTCTTCTGGTTTCTCCCACTAACATTTTATTAGCCAAAGCAAGTCACATGGCCAAACCTGACAATGAGGCAGGGAAATATATTCCTGCCACAGTCTCAAGGCACCAGGCAACAATACCTAATCCTCCTTTGGAGGAGCAAATATTTGAAAATATAAAAAAATGCCAGGCCTGAGGCCTGGGAGAGTTCTTGGCCTTTTCTACATTGTGCCAAGATGGCAGCTGCAGCTCCAGGAAACACAGCCTTGTTCCACACGGGAAGGAAAAGAAAAGGGCGAAGACAAACAGGAAGAAGTACTAGTTGAATCTCTTTTTTTTTTTTTTTTTTAAGATTTTTAAGTGATCTCTTTTAAGATTTTTAAGTGGGGCCTGAACTCACAACCCCGATATCAAAAGTCTCATGCTCTACTGACTGAGCCCGCCAGGCACCCCAATTCTCTCTCTTCTAGGAGTTGTGGTTTTTGTTTGTTTGTTTGTGTTTGTTGATAGTCTCTCTTGATGCCTTCCACTTACATTTCATTGGCCACTCTGCAAGGAAAGCTGGGGTATATTATTTAGCCATCACTTCCAACAATAGAGAGGTTTTGTCTAGTAACCAAGATAATATGAATATTGGGTGTTCAGCTAACAGCTTCTGCCGCTCCAACAAAAGAGAAACATCTCTAAGTGTTTGGAAGCTGCAAGACAGAATGAAGAAAGTTGCCTGATGATACTCAAAGAGAAAACATAGTCTAGAATTTTCTGTGGTTGTTGCAGAGAAGCTGGAAGCTGATCCACCTAATAGGACCCTGACATGTTTCTGGGCTCAGAGTCAGCACCTGTGTTAGAAGGCAGAGGAAAGAAGTGGGATGACAAGCGAGAGAACATGGGGCCGTGTTATATGAACAACTACCCTTGACACCACCTTAACCCATCACTGCCCAGAGAGCCAGCTGTCAGCATTTACCCCCATACAAAACCAAGCCAAACCCAAAGATACTGAACAAAACATTTCAGCCCTCTTGAGGCCTTTATTTGGAGACCCCTGCAGCCTGACAGCTCACTTCTTACCACCTTACCCAGAGCTCTGAATCCAAAGTCTACTCGGTAAAGATACCTTGCCTGAAAATAGACAACGGCTGTGGAAGCCCACGTTGGCTACACGGTCTTCCTGCTTTATAGGTGAGCAAACTGCTGGGCTTACCAGACAAATGAGGGGCTCCCCTGCAGGATCAGGTGTAATTGCTGATGGTGCCACACCTACAGCCGAGCATTGAGTGAAAGTCCTGCAGGCTCAACCACAGCCTCCCCCCCGCCCAGCCCTGTTGTACCCATGCAACAAGAATAGGTTGCTATGAAAATGGAACATTCAGAGAACCACAAAGGAGTGCTCATACATTTAAAAAATTCTGCCTACCACATATATAAATATTAATACTGGGAAGAGGGTGGGAGACTGGAAGAGTGTGAAGTAATATCTTCATATTGGAGAGTTAAAAGGGAATGTTAAAGTCTTCTAAATAAGTAGAGGCTAACTAATAGAGATAACAACATATAATCTAGAGTTATGACAGTAACCACAAGAAGAACTTAGTAGAGAAACTGTTTCTATGGAAGGAAGGAAGAAAGGGAGGAAGGAAGGGAGGGAGGGAGGGGAAAGAAAGTAGAAAGAAAAAAAGAAAAGAAAAGAAAGGAAAAGAGAAGAGAAGAAGAGAGGAGAGGAGAGGGAGGAAGGAAGGAAGGAAAAGAAAGAGAATGAAAACATCTTCTGAGCTGTGGATTCAAGGAAGGGAGGAAATGTGGAAGACCATGATTTTCCACTGTAACCTGCTCTGTATTATTTGATCTGCATGGGCACGTGGACTACTATACCTAAGCTTTCTGCAACATTATATTTTTAGATTTATACACATTGGTAAACAAGGGTCCAATCCATTATTGAAACTGCTATACAGTATTGCGGTATCTAAATATACCATGTTTATTTATCCACAGCCCTTCAGATGAGCATCTGAGTCATTTAAAATGTTTCAGTATCAGGAACAATATTGGATCAAATAGTCTTGTATATATCCTTGTACACACATCTCTAGGAAGGAAACTCTGTGCGGGAGGGAATGAGTCTCTTTAATGTCACCAGGAAACTGACAAGTCATTCTCCATAGCAGGTGCACCCATTCTCATCCATGACAGATGAAAGTGCTGGTGCTCCATATCCCCATCAACTGGATTTGTCAAGTTTCTCGAAGTCTGCCAACCTAATGGGTGTGAAATAACATCTCATTAGGATTCTGGTTCCCAGATTGTTAGAAGAGTTGAGTGTCTTCTCACGAGTTTGTTGGCAATATGGAATTTCTCTCCATTGATGTTTTTCTGTTTTGTTGTTTATCTTCCACTAACTGGTAGGCATTCCTTATGAATTTTGTGTACTAAGGTTTTGTTGGGTACATGCGGTGAAAGTTCTTCTCCAATTTGTTTTTTAAACGTGTTTACTTTTTATTCATTTAACATAAGTTTTACTGCATTTTGAATTTAATCAAATGCATCAACCTTTCTTTTCCATTTATACTTATTATGTTGTGTTTATGAAATCCCCTCTCACCCGGAGGTAATCATTCTGTCTTCCTTGGGGCACAAAGTAATGCCTCAGTTAACACACAAATAAATTCTTTCCAGATTGTTGGTCTCCAGGACCCTACACAAATCCAGTTTCTATTTCCTGCAAGCACCTTGCTCGTACAGGCAAATTTGTATTGCAAAACCGGACTTAAAGACAAAGGTTACAGGGCTGGCTGCTGTTTATCAGTATGAAACCAAACTGAAGTCTGCCTTCCATTTCCGATATGAAAGTTGACAACCGGAAGGAACAGCTAAATCTCCTTCTTCACGAAAGACACACTTGAGAAATGGGGTTTTAATATATAGCAATATTTAGATCAGAAATCAGAAAGGCCATCTGGTTAGTAAGGGCTACAGCAATAGGACAGGGCCCCTGAGAGAGCCCATGTAGTCAAAAACTGTATTAAGCCTCGATTATATGGCAGACCTGTAAGGAGGGTTGTGGGACATCTTTCTTTAAAAAAACAAAACAAGACAAAAAACACAATGTAAATGATCATTAGATGTCACGGCACAATAAAATTCTCCAAAGCCGGTGTCATTGCCATGGGTAGCACCAGTAGCTCCAACACATGTGTTTATCAATAACATCCTATTGCTTCTCTCCTTAAGCCTTTGTCTCTCATTGCCTCTTCATTCCCCGGGGCCCCGACCGAATGAGGCTTCCTCTCTTCACATCTGGTTTAGTGAAACAGTCACCTAGTCATCCTACTTCCAGATGCTCCCCCATCCTCACGTGCTAGATGAAGCCTCCTCAAAACCTGGCCATCATCAAGTCTCTCTTCTCAAAATGTTCAGGGCAAGTGTATAAATATGCCATAAATATAAATAAAAATGCAGACATTGCCCCTTTGGTGAGTATTTAAGTCATTAAAATTTGTCCTCTCTTAAGAACAATATCACTTGTAATGTGAATTTTCTAGCCGGGTATTTAAAACCCTCCATGCTCCATCTCCCAGTAGCTTTCTTCATGTCCCACCACATCCCGTGTAAATCCTCTGCTTCCTCTGGGCTGATCTTCTCTTCTCGGCCTCTGTTCCTTTTCCTTCCCAACCAAAGGATCCTGCCAAGGACACAGCCCAAGACCCACTTCCTCCATAGGTTCTTTACTGATGGCTCAGTGATGATTCCCAGCTCAGATTCCTGAAACACTTACCATCTGTGCCAGGCTGTTAGCACTTCCTGCCTGAAATGTTTTTAGATATCTCCTGGTTCCCAAAGTAGATTAAAGTGATCTGTGGGTGGGAATGATGTGTCTTGGGCAGAAGGGAGGTCCCTGAGGCATCTAGCCGAGCTCCTGACAGGATTCAATAAATATCTGCAGACTGCCATTTAGCCCAAAATGTATAAATATCTCATAGCATATTTACCAATGTTACAAAAAGTCTTAATATTCTCCTGTAGGTTGGGTTATACTTCCTAAAGGAAAACAACTAGTTGTAAAAGAGAAAATAAAATCAATGCAAAGAGGTGTCTTTAAACATTCAGAAGAAATATAAAAGTCACCTAAAAATCTCAGGCACTCCAGTTCTTTTTAAATGAAAGCATATTCATTACTGAAAGAGTCACACATTGCAAAACTCCCCACAGAAACTGTTTACAATGCCCTTGGACACCCTTTTCTCAGGAGGTTAAAGACTTGGAGAAGAGAGGCGGGCGTTAACAGTTACACTGAGCTTGGCAGAAGCCTTGGAGTACACAGGCTGGACTGCCCTAGTCCCTACCTCGCAGGGGCACTCTTCTGGCCCCAGCCCCAGAAGGTCGGCGGAGAATGACCACCTACCACCCTCTATCTGTAAATTAGGGAAACTGCCGCTGCCGCCCTTCCTCCCTGGCTCCTTAAAGGTACTACTGCTTGCTGCAAGTGCTTGAGAAATGGTGAAAAGGGGTAAAGAAGAAAAGAAAAATGACCCCCCAGGGATGGCCACTAATACTGTTGTGGAGAATTTGCCCACTACGGAGCACACGTGGACACACGCCTGCCACTCTGCGGGCTCATGTTCCCTGTGCGGTGAGAGGCTGTGTGGGTCAAGGTTAAACAAGCGTGGCCGCTGGAGCCTGACTCCAGGTCTGAAACCCGGCCCTACAGCTCAATGGCTCTGTTACCTGAACACATTGCTCCCCGCACACATTCCCTCACCTGTAAAATGAGAATCACAGTATCAGCCTCATAAGGTTGCCGTGGGCTCAGGTGAGGTGATAGTCATGCGGTGTTTCCATCATCCAGATGTGGAGAAAGAATGACGCGGCTCTGAATTATACAGTTCCCCATCTTGTCTTTGAACTTCACATTTTATCAGGACCCTGTCATCAAATCTTCTTTGAAAATATTGTTTTTACAATGATATGTTCCTCTATCCTACTTTTTACTTAATGCTTTACCACGCCTCTATGTTTCTAATCTTTTAAAAAATTATTTCTGATGTCTGCATAACTAACACTCTATCTTCTAAATATACCACAATTTATCACTTTCTCCTGTTTCGGGACATTCACGTTGTTTCCTGTTTATCACTATGATATATAATACTGTGACAATATACGTAAAACTTGAGTCACACGATCTGCTTGCTTTCTTAGGGTAGATTTCTAACACAGAATTTCTAGAACAATAGGGTATAAACATCACTTAATGTTTATATTGCCAAACTGCTATCCAGAGAAAACATTCCAAGTTTGCTCCCATTAGTCCTGTGTGAAAGTGGCCTCTTCACCGATGACAGCGTTCTAGTATTACCTCTTTTTTTTTTCTTTTTTTGCTATTTGGGAAAAAGGAAATTTTTATTTGATTTAATTTTGATTTTGATTACTAGTGTAGCCCAACTTTCATGATTATATTTGCATTTCTTCATTTAGGAACATTCTATTCATGTCCCAATCTTTTGGCATTTGTTTCGGGGATTTTTTTTGGTTGAGCTGCAAAGAGGTTTTTTTTTTTTCATAGCTATTGGTAAGTACTCTTTATATATTAGGAATTTAATTTTTCTGTCCCATTTTATCTTTTCCAGTTTACTTTATGGCTTATGGCTTTCATTTCCTCATGGAGTCAGCACATAGTTATTGAGAGGCTGTTATGTACCAGGCACTGTTGTAGTTGCTGGGGATTAAACAGGGAGCAAAGTCAACTAAAATCTCTGTCCTCAGAGACCTTACCTGTTAGTGGGGGCTTCTAGTTGAGAGTGTAATTGCAATCAACAGAACCATCTAATTCCTGGAATGTCTGATTTAGAGTTTTGTTAAGTACCTATTTCTTAGAAACAATTGGCCTATTAATGGCATCTTCCCTTCAGAAAACCACTGCAGTCACATGAATACAGAGGAAGAGAGACCCCGGGGCTTAGCCTGATAGAGAAAATTAGAAAATATTTTCAAAGAAGTATGACTGAAAGGGCAGCCACAGACTTTCAGATGGGACTTGGTGCATCAGGAGTACACCTAGTGGTTCTTTCTTTTTTGGTTTATTTTCCTTTCACACAGGTACCTCACTTGTACATCTCATAGCTGGGGACAGGAGAAACAGGAGTGTGAGGGGGGATGAAGAAAATGGAGAAGTTTGTGGTCCTACCTGAGTTGGCTCGGGCTGTCATAACAAAGTACCACAGACTGGGTAGCTTGTAAACAGCAACAACTTACTTCTCACAATTCCAGGGGCTGGAAGTCTCAGATCTGGTTGCTAGCATGGTCAGGTCTGGGCAAGAGACTTCTTCTGGGTTGCAGACCGCAGCCCTCTTGTTGTCTCCTCCCATGGTGGGAAAAGATTGAGCTAGCTCTCTGGCCTCTTTTTAAAAGGGCACTAATCCTATTCATATGGTTTCATCCTAAGTCCTCCCCTCCAAAATCCATCACATTGGAGATTAGATTTTAATATGTGAATTTGTGGGAGGACACGAAGAGGTCCCATAAGCAGAGGGCACTGTGCCAGGAATGACTTTATAGAATGGCTGAGGCACCAATATCAATTTTGTAGAGATTCCCACCCCTCAGTAGATGCACAGGACAGCTGTGGGTCCTACGACAGGAGCAAAATGGCCTCCCCAGCAATCTGTGTACACATCTGACTCAAGGACCAGATAAACGACCGCCCTCCAAAGTGTCAGCCCTCAGAAACAACTCCAGGGAAGCAGACAGAGAGAATCCTAAATTAACCGAGATTGTGGTTTTGGCAGCAGCAGAACAGGAATCAAAATAAAAACTGAATGGAATTATAGAAAGTTCTGTTTCTTATACATCTAAAAGATCTCGTGTTTTTAAGAGCAATCACACACATACAAAAGAGATTATTACTTAAACACTTAAATAAGCATCCCCATAGTTCTTGAGAAGAAACTGAAAATGCAAATGGAAAATTCTGTTAAATGAGCATCATTTTAACTTAACTTTTACAAACGCAGTTCCAAAAACATGCGTTCCAGTATGTACAGGGGGTAGCCCAACAAGTCCTTCTTCACCCTTGGCCACTCACAGGAGACACATACACAAATATCCATCCCTACAGAGCCAGGATAAATGTAACTGACTGTAAAAATTGCCCAGCCCAGATGAGCAAGAACCTCCTGACAACAGAATCTCTGGATTCCAGAAGGTTTCCCCTTCATCCCTCTCCTGGCACTGCTCAGGTTCAACTGTGGGCTCCACTTTGCTGCTTCTCTCTGCTCTTTATCACAAGCTGCCCTCCTTATCAGAAGCTGCCCTCAGTTTCTTCCTCTATGAGGCAGAACTGGCTCTTGCTAGAAGAAACCAAAAGAAGAGTGGTCATAGAACCCAGATTCAAAGGAAGAGTTCAGAAAAGATGTTCAACATCAGTAATTGTTTGGGAACTGCAAATCAAAACCACAATGAGGTAATACTTTGTACCCACTAGGATGACTCCTGGGGGGAAAGAAATAAAAAAGGAAGGAAGGGAGGGAGGTTGGTGAGGGTGTAGAGAAACAGAAACCCTTGTTGGTGAGAATGTAAAATGGTGCAGCTGTTGTGGCACAGTGGTACAATGGCTCCTCAAAAAATTAAAAAATGGAACTGCCCTATGATTCCTCAATTATACACCTGGGGATACACCCAAAAGAATTAAGGGCAAGGTCTCAAAGTGATATTTGCACATCCATGATCACTGCGGCATTATTCACAATAACCAAAAGGTGAAAGCCACCCAACCGTCCACTGACACGTGTTTGGGTAAGGAAAATGTGGCGTAGTCATACAATGGAATATGATTCAGCCTTAAAAAGGAATTAAATTCCGACACCTGCTACAACATGGATGAGCTCTGAAAATAAGCCGGGCACAAAAGAACTACGGTCTGATTCCGCTCACATGAGTTACCCAGGTTAGTTGAATTGGCAGAGCCACCAAGTAAAAGGGTAGTTGACAGGGTCTGGGGGAAGAGGGGAATGAGGACTCGGTGTTTAATGGGTACAGAGCCTACTTGAGGAAGAGGACAGACAAGGTTCTGCAGATGGAGAGCGGCGACGGCTGCACAGCAATACGGGTGTCCTTCAAGGCCCCGAACTGTGCGCTTTTTAAAAGGGGGTAAGAAAAAGACCTAGGAGAAGGATTGGGTTTGGGGTCCAATCGGATGGAAACACGGAACACACAAGGACTGGATTTACCCCCGTGGAGTGCTGGAGTGAGTGCCCCCATTTTGTAGGGCGAGGAGGCTGGAGAGGGCCCGCGGAGCTCCTGCCACTGGGCGATCAGAAGGAAAACTGAAGCCGGCAAGTGCTTTCTTCGCCCAGGTCGGGTCTGGCCCAGGCTGTTGCTGCGGCCGTCCCCCCTCCGACATACTGCGGCATCCTCGATTTCAGTGGGCTCAGTCCAGAAGTCGGGGAAAGAGGGACGGCTCCAGTGGCCACTTCGAACTTAAAGGCTTGTCTTAATCGCCACACCCTCCACGAAGCCCCTTTTGATGTTCCCTAAACCGTGCGTTATCAACGGGAGGCCATATTCCCTCAAAGCGGGCAGAAGTTGGTTCTTAGGAGGAGGGAAAAATCTTACCTTTTTTTTTTTTTTTTTTTTTTTAAGGAGCAAGCACAGATAAACGCTCGGCAAATTCGGATACACGGTGTATCTCTGGAATTAAAATTTAACAGTGGGGGAGGGGGTACTGAGGAGGGCGGGGAGCCACGGTAGGGGGTGGGCGGGGGGACACACAAAGGTTGAGAAACTGCCCGAAAGTTTGGGGCCTTAACATACGCTCCGAGCCCCCCCGTTTCAAGGCCGCACAGCACTTGGCTCTTCTCGCCCAGGCTTGACCGTGACCCCTTTCCCCATCTCTTCCCGGCGGAACCCGGGCGGCCTCCTCGGGGTCTCGCTCACCCGGCGGTGCCCCCACGCGGCCAATGCACACAGGCACCGTGCGCCCTTCCGCGCCCCACGGGCCGGCGCGGGAAGGCGGTCGGCTCGCACCCCAGCCGGGGCGGGTTCCCGAGCCCCGGCCGGCCGCGGCGGCGCGCTTCCTCCCCAAGGAGATGCCGGCCGCTCCGCCCGCCCTCCTTCCCTCCCTCTCTCCCTCTCTCTCTCTCCCTGCGCGGCCGCGAGCTCGGCCGCTCCCCTCCCGCGCCCGCGCCGGGGCCTCCTGCAGCCTCGGCCCCTCCCGCGGCCGCCTCCGCGCGTTCCTCCGCTCGGCTGGCTCGGCGACGCCCTGGGCAGCGAGAGCCTCCGCGGCCGCGGAAATCTGTACACATCGCGCGGCAAGTTTCGTAGCCCGGTCTCTGTGGCGCAATCGGTTAGCGCGTTCGGCTGTTAACCGAAAGGTTGGTGGTTCGAGCCCACCCAGGGACGAAGGCGCTCGTTTTCCTGAGAAACGGATTCATTTTAAAACGGCAACCGTGAGATTTTTAATCCAACAGGAGTACGACCGTGCTCCTGTGCATCTGGGACGGAGAAAGACCACGTTCTCTCAGTATTTGTCGCCCACCGGGGCTGGATGTAAGAGCGACTCTGCTTCTGGACTGGTAGCCCTGGGCTTGGCAATTCAATTCCACTGTCATGTCCACGGGAAATTTGCACACGTTCTTCGGGAAACAGGCCCAAAGATTTGCTTCAACAGCCCTCATTGTAATGGAGGGGAGGGGGAAAAATGCCCCTTGACGAGTGAGTGAATAAATGCCACTGGTTTCTTTTCAGAAAACCTGATACCATGAGAAGGGAAATGTCCTTATTCGATATTGCCTTTTCTACTGGCAAACGGATCTGAGGAGCTGTCGATGAAAATGTGCAAGGGGAGTCACCTAAAAGTGTGTGGAGACATAATCACCCTATGTAACCGTCTGCTAAATGAAGCTCTGCTACAGCTTTTGGACAGTAGACTTGAACCTAGATGAAGGTGTTCATGTTTGCTTTTAGATCGCCCACAGGGGTTTCCCTGAAATTAAATCCGGGCAGAAATTGTTTTTATGGGTTCCTGTTAAAAAGGTCTTGAATGATGTATTTTCAACTCTGGTCCCACAGAAGACACAGATATTTTTCAAGCAGATGGTTCATATGAGACTTTTAATAAAGATAGAGAACCACACAATAACATGGTAACGTGATGATATAATTCATTTTTACC